CTGGTTCTATAGGTTTTCTGACGACATAATCCTAACGAGACTCATTTTTGTAGCGTTAACAACGTAAAACTCTTTCGAAATGTACACTAATGAGAGCAGATCCAGTTTCTTTGATTTGACATGGAATGTGTTCAATTGCTTATATTAAACGTGTTGTTATCTCATGTTAAAGGTTGTCAGAATTTTAATAAAGCTATTGGATAACAAGTTATCTCGTTTTATCTCTGATAATAACATTAGTGTCCAAACACGATTGTTATAGGTCAAACGTAGCATCAATTACCGTAGATTAATTCATTCGAGGATGCTCTATGTATTGTATTTGTACGCATATTGTGTAATGATCTTGTCTTTTCATTATAATGTTGACTCAGAAATCAATGCGATTCCCGTTAAAACTTCCTGTAACCAGACATGCAACACTTCCCCCCTCTTTAAAAAAGGTTGGTCCAGGGAATGGCAATTTGCTTCGAGGTATCCACTCCTAAATGTCAAAGTGACGTGTCTTTCTAATGAAGAATTAGTTCGTCAATCAGTCGTGACAAACATTAAATTCTATTTCAGTATACATAGAATTAAATGCGACGCGTAATGACAAGTCGACGGTGCTTTATGTGCGCAGAGCATGATGAAATGTGTTTTATATGTAAGCTTGATATCGGAAATGTAACTGAAAAGAAAATCAAGAAATATTTGACTGTAGGGAAACTAAATTAGTTGTAATGTTTAATGCATAAGTCTTGCAATTAAACAGTATCTCATTACCATATCGAAATGTCTGTAATTCACTCATTTGCCATTCATTTCTTATTGAAAAGAGTCTTATAAGTGCGCTGAAACAAGAGGATGAACTGACGTATGGTGTGATTGCAATCTAATTCCATTATATGTATTGTTGGTTACATATCCTACATTATGTTACGTTAGATTTCAGTTTGATAAACAATCACGCCAAGTATAATAGCAGAAATATTCATTATATATAGATATATTCATTACATTATGTCCGATTTCATCGGAAGAGCATGTGGCTTAATGAAATCCCATAATTTTGAATTTTTAGAAAACAATTTCCGAAATCATACTTAAAAACAAACAATTTTATCGTTTAAATAATATGATACCTTAAATAAGGGATAATCGTTTCTAAAGTCAATTTGAAGCAAGTTAAAAAAACATTTTTTACCTTAAGAGGGTGAAGGTCAAATCTCAAATCTAAAGTCAGATTTGAAATTCTGTGAACTTGTAGCTAGATGATTTTGAAAAAATGGTCAGTTTGACGCAAGTTGAAAAAACACCTATTTTGACCTTGAGAAGGTCACTGAAGGTCAAAACCCAAATCAAGATTAAAAAACTGAAGTCAGTCTAAACAGCATAAAATTTGTTAAGTTATTGGAGATTTTTAGAATTTGTTACAGACGCCGGACTCCAACTACCAACCGCCGCCCACTGTCACAAAAACGGAAACCATAACAATGTGTCACCACTTTTGGTGGTGATATAATAAACTGTTCGAATGTTTTACAAGATGTTTACACTATTGATCTTATTTTCTTCTCAACAAGGGTAATGAAAATTTTGAATACGTAATACTTGTAAAGACGATCTACTCCTGTACATAGTAACCAATGTGACTAAGTGGTACAAGTTATTTTATAAGCCTACTCTAATGCAATTAGGCCTATCTGTCTCAGTCTGGAGGGATGCCATTGTCTAATTATATGGCCATCATTTCGCAATGATTGAAGACTTATCGCGATCAGATAAACCCCTGATTGATTTCATTCTCCATATATTTAGGCTGTTTAAACATCAATCTGCATCTTGCTCATTGTTTGGGGAACTAATTAAAAAACTACTAGGTCTACTTGAAGGAAAAAAGCAGATTAAGTTGTTCAATCTTTTATGTTAGTTTGGAAGGGCATGTACCATAATTACATGTTTTACATATTGAAGAAGATATTAGGAAATTAAATCTTGAAATAATGCAGGCATTAAGTGAAAGTTGGGAAATTAATGATTAAAGACAAGCGAGACATTAATATATGAAGAGTCATCAGTCGTACAGCCTCATGAACACATGACGTATTCTCTTCAAGTAGAGTTCTATTTTCGACCATGGTTTGCCATATTAAAGTATGCTTAAAAGTATTCTCCGAGTTGATTGTTGCCTTCGGAACCAGCAACTACTGAGTGGGGGCACGAGGTTTAGCTTCATTCTGACTACTCTGAAATAGTAACCGTACCTATTTCATCACGTGGTGCTGTTCTCCCTTGACGATAGAAAAATACTAAAAAGAACAATATTTTCAATCGTAAAAGTGATGCAATATAAGTTTAAAGTGATAAAAACTGTTTGTTGGAACTTTTGGCTTCAACTAGACTTTAATTATTAAAAAAGAGTACGTACGAGTATTTTGTTTAACATAAACATATCAACTTCAAAAAAGTAAGTTAACAATACGTACATAAACGTCCATCACACGCTTGTTAAGATTTCTATGACGTTGTCTTTCCGTGTCAGAGCATGATCAATTCGCCTATGACTGATGGGCTTACATTCTTCATACTTCTTACGTTTCAAAATCTCTATTTTCAATTTTGTTTGGAAAATATCGTTTCTCACAAAGAACATCATTATACAATGTAGCACGCTACATCGACCCAACCAAACGTAATTGGGAGATTTCTTTGGCAAAATTCCCTGGAGGTGAATACTATTTTCGCGAGCGGGGTTTTGAGGTGAATACGATTTTCGTGAGCGGGGTTGGGGCGTGATTGAGCGGGCGGATACGATTTCATTCAATATGAAAAATAGTCCCTGGTGTTATTCACCGGGTCGAGGTAGTGTCATGGGATAGAAAATTATTTAATAGTAGGGATGGAATATGAATTCTATTTCAAGGGAAGATTTTTCGAGGACAACATCATATTTTCATACTTCATCACGACCATCAATAACCTATTCATTTCAATATTTTTTCTGAAACATATTTATTTTGATCAAGTCTTGTATGTCATCACCCAAGACCCAATAATGGTTACATAAAATGATACAATTCAATGAAATTAACAAGTCTTAAAATTGAACGAAAGGCGTAAAAATCGAGAGAAATCCCTGGGAATAGTTCTTCTTCGGGATATGATACGGGATTTTGGCTGATACGGGATCCAATATTGGATCTGATACGGGATTTTGGCTCATGCGGGAACTGATACATTATGTTTTGAATAGCAATTGTATTCCCTATTTATTTCCTTGAGAAAGCATCTTTTTATGGGATTAACTTTTGGAAAGAGTATTTTTTTCTCTATGAAAATAGGATTATCGATTCGACTGGCAACATTTAAAAAATGTACGTTACGTTCATACCAACTGTGTATAATGTATATCTGGTTTATATCTTCGTTATATTGAATTTAGCCTAAATTATACATTGTCAACACGGACAGGTATAATGTATGATCAATATAAATGTGTTCCTGTTGCCGGTACTATGATTTCATGAAGAAACCGTCGTCCAGAACTTTCTTACATACTTTATTGATCTTAGTGCCACTCAAAATATAGCTAATAAGCACTTACATGAACACAAACATACTATATATGCTACTCTATCACACGATTTATAGAATTTCATAACAAGGAGTGAAGAATAGAAGCTGCCAATATGAAGTTATAACTGATGATTGGCGAGTTTCATCCTGGAGTTGTGACAAAGCTATCTGTTAGCTAATACATTTGATAGATTCTATATAAAATAGACGCTTGTCGATAACAAATATATAATTGAAATCTTTACCCAAGGGATAGCTATATCATGATTATGAACGTACAGTAGAATCTTACAGCACATAGATCAAGTCATAATTGAAAATAATTGAGAATAATGATATTTTAAGCTAGGTCTATCATGTCACGAACCAGTTTGAAAACTAATAACACGAGGGATTAGCCGAAAACGTTCACCAATCACAAAAATAGATTCTATTGACTTTTTACTGGTTTCAATCAACATTTAATTATTTTTGAACAATTATTTTCCGACTCACTCGGATTAGAGATGAAATTTACTTCTCTAGCATGAATGTTTGATTATGAGATAGGACGCTGTATCTGGTCGTTGGACTTTCCAATTTAGATTCAGCAACGATAATATGTAAGTTCTCATAATATTCATTTTGAGAAATCATGATAGCACTTTTTATATCAAAAGTAATGATTTTTAGAGATATTATAAACTTAATCAAAGAGACTCGACCTAAACATATCTACGTTTTCAAATTAGCTAAAAAAAACTCCTACCTACTGTTTTTAACCGATTGCTTCTGTCAGTATAGTAGTTGTAAAAGTGAAAAACTGTTAATTATCTTTCAAATAAATTGTCCTTCTGTTCTTCTCTCCGTCACTAATTGGTAGGAAAACTAGACCTATAAGCAACCTAAACGATGCTCCCAGGTAATGAAATAGCGCTAAACCAAATTAAGTTAATGTTGAACAAAGTACATAAAAATAATAAATAATTCAAAGAAATAGGAAAAGACGGCCATTACTAAATGTAGTTAGGACATATTCTGCATATAGAGATACAAAGAGGCGCGCGGCGATATATAGAATGCAAAATCAATGTACATTAGTTTTTTAAAGTATGTCAACATACGTACCAATTATGATCTTTGATTCCATTATCTGACAATAAGCTATCCTCGATTATAAGGACTTATATGACGGGTTAGTCAGACCTCACAAAACGTCAATCCACGTGTTAGGCATGATGTCCTATTGTACGATCGTATTGAGTTCCATTTGTATCACTTTAACATAAATTTGAATCCCTTCAAGAATTTCCAGAGTCTCAATATTGATAACATCTTCGATTTACCCCCATGCGCAAGATGGTTACACCAGTCGCTATATTGTCAATGTCCAATTTCAACCTGACGTCATCCCGCTTCGATCCTACGCTCCTTTAATTTATGCAATCGAATCCTCCCACGATGCAAGTCCACGGAATGTGATTCCAAAACGGAAAGATCGTTACTTACAGTTGCGTGTGCATTCCTAGAAGTAGTTTAAAAGAAGTGAATACATTTTAAAACGTTATTTACACGAATTGATGTCCGCCAATACACAATAATTTTGACAACACACCAGCAACACTGAAAATCATAACGAAATTAATGACCAGACTGAATCGTTTATTTGATCGACTGGTAGGGGCTGCAAGCAGATGATAAAATCCTCGCGGGAGCTGTAGACAACTTAGCGGCAACCCATACCACGGAAGCAACTACGATTGATCATCAGGAATCCTTTACTGGATGTAATTGGAAAATTACCACAATGTTTTTCTGTGTTTGAGATTTGTCCCGAGCTGCCGAACAAGTACTTTTACAAATCGCTCCTCTGCTCCAAGGTACGTATATCTATTGTTCACTAAATCATCTCACAATTGATATGTTACGGTTTGTAAAAAATGTTAATATAATAAGCTGAAAATAAAAAATCTATGAAGATTCAGTAACACCCTATGCAGACAGAGCCTGTGGGAAATATTGGGTGCGGATCAAATGAGCGGAGGGTGCGGAGCTAACGGTTATTTTTGAATTTAAATTTGGGATATTTCTGAAACTAAGCCGTTTTGGGACTTCAAATATACCAAGATATGTGTATTTGACACCAAATATCAATACAATTGTGAAAATAGTAGCGCAATTCATTCTATAGCGACGCAGTGTGCCTTAAACCTTTCCCAGACCTATATATTTTGAAATTATCCTTTTAATACTGAGTCCCCAGCATTCATAAAAAATGGTGTTCAAGGTGCACTATCTATACAAACTATTTTTGCATCTTGGAAGCCAGGCAGTATCTGTGTGATTTTATAAAAATTCGGAAATGTTCTTCAGATATGAGCCCCTCTAAATATTGGGTGCGGAGCAGCTCCATAAACGTAGCTCCGCACCCAATATTTAGAGGGGCTCATATCTGAAGAACATTTCCGAATTTTTATAAAATCACACAGATACTGCCTGGCTTCCAAGATGCAAAAATAATTTGCATGGGTAGTGTATCTTGAACACCATTTTTTATGAATCCTGGGGACGCAGTATTAAAAGGATAGTCTCAAAATATATAGGTCTGGGAAATGTTTAAGGCATACTGCGTCGCTATAAAATGAATTGCACCACTATTTTCACAATTTTATTGATATTTGGTGTCAAATACACATATCTTGGTATATTTGAAGTCCCAAAACGGCTTAGTTTCAGAAATATCCCAATTTTAAATTCAAAAATGACCGTTAGCTCCGCACCCTCCGCTCATTTGCGCCGCACCCAATATTTCCCACAGGCTCTGTCTGCATAGGGTGAGTAAGCATTAATGATAGTACAGCGACTCATGGTATAGTAGTCTTCATAAAAGAGCTTGTTTAAAAGTTTAAGTATCGATTGTTTTATGCGCCAAACATATCTCACAAATCGACCAAGCCATTATAAATGGAACGACAATAGGTGTTAAAAGGACGGTACAATACCAAACATGTCAATATTCAATTACCGCACATACATATATAGAATACGAGAACAAAATAACAGACACTCTATAAATGGACTTCCGGTTTACGGATACGGACAAAATGGGCGTTCACCCATAGTTCGTTGACTCATCGTTTACAACGAATGAATGAGTAAAATATTGGGTCAGTCCAGATTTCGGTATCTTTATTGATTATGTTCCAAGCGCTCTTAAAAATCATTGTTAAAATCGTCACTTCGATTCAAATTCAAAAACATTGTGCTAGAAACGCGGTGTATCCTTTTGAAAACATGCGGAGGAATTTCTTATATAAAGGACGGGTATGACATTTGTGTTTTACATTCTTATCAGTGAAATCCGTTTGTGATATAAATCCGGAAGTGTGCATATGCATGCAATTATCTGTTATGATTGCATCAATAGGCCATTCTATCTGTCAGTGTCAGCCACACTCATCAAAAAGAGATGGATTCAAATAAATTATAAATATGTCGTTTTGTAATTGTAACCCTCATGAAAAACCATGACATCTGATATCTTCTGAGCCATGAGATGCCATGATATTATTGGTTTAATTCTGTGAACCACGAGAGAGACCTTATATATTTCATCTAAGTATGACAGTTGCAGCTCTTCCCTTCAGATGTACCCTGCGCTCAGAGTCTAGTTATAAACTACCCTCGTGAAGACGAAGCTCTCTATTAAAAAGTGAAGTCGAACGAATGCAAAGGGTACATCAGATGAGCTCAAATCACCAAATATTTCTTATAATATCACAGCATGTTTTTGGAGAAACAGAAATTTATAAGTATCAGAATGTTTTTGGTGAAACAGAAAGATGTTATCGTAGTTTCGGATTGTTTTGTTACGACGTTTGTGTAACCACTACACATTATTTCAAAATAGTAGTATCTATACACTATGTGACATAATACTTTACCCCACCGAATAAAGTATCAGCCATTTAATTTCATCTTTATGCATACGGCATTTCAAAATGGGTGACATAATGAGAATCTACTATTATATATGGTGTCTGGAAAGTTTCAAATCTAACTATTCTAGATCGGTTATAATCTTCCAAATATTCCAATCCCTTATGATGAACCATTTTAGTTAAAAATTTATTCATCATGTTTTCTTATATTACATCATCTTGCTTCATCAAGCTTCGGACCTATCCTAGAACGTAGTGATTGAGCGTAGGAACCTACGATGTTAATACATCTGAACCATTGGGTTCTAGAACTAAACAAAAACTTAATTTTAATTAAAATGATATTTTTTCTAAACCTCGTTCCTGCGCTTATCAATCGAACTCCCGTGCAGTGATATTATCACTGCGGCGGGCAGGTATCTCACCGTAAGCATGGTAACATCGTAATAAACAACTGACGTGATTGGTTCTAGCCCCATGCTCAGGTCGCGTGATTGTAAAATTTAGACAATTTCATTGGTTGAATTGCGCGTATTAACTAATAAACAACACGTGCGGTAAACTTTTATCAACACAACTTTTACTCAGAATTCCTTCCGCGGAGATTTCCTCTTATATTGCATTGATTTTGGAATATTTTGACAAAATAATTATTGGTGAACATAAAAGAACATATATTTTATAAGTTGTGTGAAAAACAAGTACATCTGTGACAAAAAGGGGGACTATCTTCCCCAAATTTTGGGGATTCCATAATCTGCCCGCCGCAGTGTCTATACCGAGACACTGCATAGGAGTTCGCTTATCAATTTGATCATTTCTAACTATTTTTTTCGATGAATCAAATTAGAAGCGCGCAGATGGAACACCATTATACATTAATATTTTGGACAAAGTCCACCAAGATTTCAACTTCCCGCATGATCTGTTTAACCTTTTTTACATTTTGTAATATCCATAATACCACCTGCCTCTATCTACATGTAGCTATTTTGAAACCAACATACGTCCCTTCGTATAGTGGATCAACAAATTACCTCGGATTCGAGTAATTACTAACACGCTCTGGTAAAATAGAAACACCACATTTGTGTCAAAATGTTCCATTTCATTTGGCAAGATCGAGAAACTGATCCCCCTGGACCGTAATTGAGGCCAAGAGGCTAGCTGTTTTAGAATAGCATTGACGCAATTGCCAAGGGTGGAGATATGTTTCATGGATCTCAGGCCATCACTGTTTTTCCAATGCAACAGTAATCCACTACTCGAATCATGATTTTTATTTTATTTTTTAATTACACAGTAATTTCCCAGAGGGGTGTTTTAACATGATCCGATTTTATACCTGTATCTTCGGCGGAATCAAAGCAATGTTTATTTACAAGTCAATCGACGGATTAGCGGATTCAATAGCTTTGGGACGAGTACGCATATCTATATATATTGTGATATCACGTCTTTAATTTGGCCTAATTCAGTTGTACATTTTGCTGCTCTGTAAGGTGAATAATTGATTTAGGGATGCTCAGAAGCTTTGTTTGTGAGCATTATAACTGCATTGGCTTATTACATCGTGCTGAACAATAATCACAGTGTCACTTTGGCTGCAATAAACCATTCTTCCTATCTTCGTATTTATATTTTCGTTATCGCCACGTCTCCCACGTTCACTCCCCGTTAGCGCATGCGCATTCATTTTATAAAAGAATTATTTTTCATATTTTTCACTCCATCTGCAACACCCTATAAATCAAAATAATACATATTGTGTTATAAGTACCATACATTATTTTGATGAAAAATGTCCATAAAAACATAAGGATCAACACCAACTCCCAAAACTTTATGATCCTAATTCATTTCTGTTACTGTGCATCTGGTGGTATCTTTTATATTCCGAAGGCAGTTATTGATTAACTTCATTAAGAAAATACAAGCTATTTTTTGAAATTATTACACAATACAACATGCTCGATCGGAAATGGCATATAGACACATTTGAAGATTTTTATGCGAAATTCCTTAGCAATATAGTAATATCGGTCGCTAAGCCTTATGCTAAATCATTTTTTAAATTTTATTTTTCACCGGCAATTGGAAAAGTATATTATAAACTTAAGTAGTATAAAAGTAGCTTGTCTACCTATATACACCTTGGATTGACCAATAAGAAGGGTGGTTTTAGATTTGGATATTAACTCATTAAGTTGCTTACAAGATGACGTACTGCATGTGTAAAAGTTAATGAACACTTTCCTCTACGAGGATGTATCCGTGCGGTAGTGGAATAATTCATAAGTTAATGAGTAGCAATAAAGTAAGCAATTCAAGAGACTAAGAACCTAACTGATCCCAATCTAGCTGCGAATTAATTCACCTCGAGTTGTAGTCGAATAATTGATCCCCGTATTATTCCTATGAATATCAGGGGTATTGTTTTTGCACAGGGGCAATATAAATAGAACCGGATGAACTTGGGTGTCTTTTTAGCTTTAACATTCCAAACATTTTAAGTGACTGGACTTCGTATTATACCTATAGGGTTAAACGATATATTTGGAACTGACAAATTTTTAAATTATGCTTTCAAGAAATAACAGAACATATTTTGGAATATTGATGAAATATTTAAAAACTATCATTAATAAAAAATAAATACGTCATATTCCACCATTTGTATATGGAATATACAATTTAAAGGTACTAAGCTATATTAAAGAATTTAAATAAATCATACTGTCATTAGCGTATATTATGAAATAAACATATTCTTAAATAAATAAATACGTCAATCATACATATGTTACACGTGAATACGTCAATTATTCTCAATTATGTCATTCATTAATAGAATATACACATATTTATACTACTACCTGGCGTTTTAAGAATTACCTGGCGAAGTAATCATGTACATCAATTATTCTCAATTACCATGTACCACCTGTCATTATTCAATTAGAATATCAATCAAACATTACCTCTAAGGTAACCATTTGCTCGATAGATCATCAGAATCGGCAGAGGACGTTGCCATTGTTCAGAGTACTACAGCAAAATCAAAAACAAGGAAGAGAAATTCAAAGAATAGGCTTGGAAAACGTTAGTCAAAGAGGATGATACCTGTATACGAATAGGTGTCATCATTTTTAACAGTTTCAAACTAAAAAGTTGTTGTAAAAATGTTATTGAACCAGTTGTCTTGCTTGTTTTTTGTTGACTACGCCTATGTTCATTGTGGTAAATATTTGAATTGTAAGCTAGAAAATACTAGGAACTTTTGAATCATGAATATTCTGCGTCTTCATTCAATCGCGTAATATGTTTGCAAGAAAACCCCAAAATACCATAACATGAATAGTAATAAAATGAAGAGGCGACAAAATAAATAACTCTATGGCTTCACCCTTTCCAATACACCCGTTTTATCATACTCAAATATATAAAGAAATTGCTAAAAGATAATGAGATTTATGTTGATTTTACATTGTACTTAGATTCCGCATTGTGTTGCAAGCTAATGGGACTTATTGATTGTCATGGCCGTTTATTAATTGACTCAAACAAGATGCGATGTATCAAAGATAACTTGCTTTCCTCTCTAAATTGGGTAAGTCAACCAGGAAGACACGCAAGCAGGAAGGGTTTTGGAAAGCTAGTTTTTAGAAACTTCCTGCGCCAGAGGCCATCAAACTCTCCCTGTCAATAATATGTACGGTTTTAACATCTATTCAAATCAACGTATCTATTTGAATTGAAGAATGGAAAGTACTTTATTAAAGCTCGAGAGCACTAAGTTGCACTTAGTGCCAACTATAGTCAATCCATTTTGATATCATCAAAGCTTCAATAGAAAGTTAGTCAAATAATGACATAGAATGGAAGTCAATTATGGCTGAAGCAACCTCTCCTCCTCATTGCTATATATGCCACGGTCGGTTGATAATTGACACGTTGGAACTGTTCATGTAACTTAACTTGACATGGAGTTAATATACAAGTTAACATTAATTAACTTTTTTACGTTATCTTGTCTATTACGAGTCAAGCAAACATGATAGAGTGACTTTACCAAGATTGAGTGTGAGGCACTCGAGTTGGTGGTCGTTATAGAGGAGCAAGGTATCTTCGATGATGGTGAAATCAGAGCGCATTTTTATCGATATTATACTAAGAGACATTTACCAGAACCAACCGACATCCTTGCAATTAGCGGTACACATTGATCACTTTTCGAACATGACATAAACGTTTTCAAATCGAATGAATACGTAATTAAATAAGCTACTTATAGAGCAGAAATGAAATATATGAGTGATATCGTCTAGAAAATTCTATTAGTGTTTCACTTGCCCATGTTTTAATGGGACCAGTGCTCATACTGCATGAAATTGAGTCTAGCTAAATGGGAGCTTGAATGATAGTTATTCAGTTAACTTCCCAGATCCAAGCCATCATTGAACATCATGCATTATACCTCTGCACATTGTAATGCTTGGCTGTCTAAAAATCTAACTATCTCATCCGTTACGATTACAAATGCTTCATTGAGCTTCATTTCTCTAATTTTTATCCACTCTCAGTTCATCTAGATCTACTAACGGCAGTAAATTAATTACTTTTTATTTTGAATTATTCCAGTGCCTTGTCTGCTGTCCTCTGCGCAAATAAACCAGCCGGACCAACTGCTTTAATAACTAGTACTACATAACCGACTTTGAATATGTCTGGCGAGTGTACCCAAGGGGGCATAAGCAAGGTTATCCTATGGGCAGTGCCTAGGAGTATCTCGACTGCCTTCTTCAGGGCTATAATGGCCAACGGGAGATCAAAGGTGAATATACTATGCGATTCAACATTACATTCTGTATGGAGGTGCAACCAAAAACTGTTAGATAAACGAACGCAAATTATTCTGAAATAGTGTGTAAGAATCTATCCGTAAACGCCACATTAGGTTCTCGTGGTGACCCCAAAAATGTTTTGAATTTGTGTCACGGGTCATCAAGGTTCATGTTTTTGCAATTTGAAATATATGGTATAAACAACACAAAATATAAGGGTTTGATGATCATAAAGAAAATATTCCGGTACCAGTTACACAAGGAATTCGAACAATCTCTAAAAGGCTAGAATTAGAAATGTTGCTTGCCGTTATTGTACTGTTTGAAACCTGTTTGTTATATCAAACCACCTGCTTTATTGAGTAGGCTAATTTTTTCCGATGCATGCACATGCAATCTGTTGTTATTGAAGACCCCATTGATGACATCTTTCTGTAATTGTATAGGTGATACTGGAACCATTTGCAAAGGCGTACTACTACGGATCGGAACGCCTCAGTAAACGATATGGCGACTCTCCTGTTGAGACCAACTCCACTTTCATGGACATTAAAAAGTATTGTGAACAAGATTTCAAAGGTAAAAATTACCGAATATTCATACAGAATAATTATTGCCATTTTGACGATGTGTCCTCCCCATGAACATGGTACATGTACTATTTTAATTTTATTTTTTATCAAATTATAAGGCAATGTTAAAGAAAAGGATGGGCATCCATTTGACTAATTCATTTATTTTAGATTGTGATTCAGTGTTCATAAAGGACATGGCTTACTATCTGGCTGGTAAATTAGACACTCCCGCTTTACTCCCAGAAGGATTCATGCACACCTTCCTTATCAGGGACCCAAGACGTGCAATCGCGTCTTTGTACAAGTTATCGACCAAAAAAGAAGTTACAGGTATTGTACAGTATAGATGTATACATTCATATATAACAGGTCAATTGTTCTCATTGTTTGTTGTTTTGATTGAAAAATAAAATTGAGTATTCAAATCAACAAATCATTGTTTGAAAATATTCATTAAGGTAAAGTGAAGGTAAAGTTCCCAATATGGCCGAAAATACTTTTTAGAAGTTTTTTCCATCAATATTTTGGTCTTTTAGTTTGACGTTGTCTCAATTTTTTGGTTCCACCTATCATTTGTGATCAAGCTCACCATGGTAATAAGAAAAGAAGCACCAATCATATTAGAAAATAGGAATTTTAGCTCTCTGAAAAATATGAAAAGAATAAAGAGAGAAAGAATAATATGGGAAAGGTTATAGACGATCGTTTTAACTTTTTCAGAAACGACAGTAATATTAACACCTGAAACACACGAGTTTTCGATTTTTGATTTGTTTCCTAAAAAGTGGAAAAATAGAAAAACTGCGGATTGTACTTTTCCTTTTCCTTTGAAACAAAAGAAATAGCTTGTTTGGAAAAGTTCAGTGTTGCACCTTTCTCATTTTTTCTGCATACTTTACATTTCACGTGTTCACTTTAAACCGTTTCGGTTCACAACCTCATCCAGTCCGTCTCCAAGCGGATGGCATTCCTCAGCTAGATGGGATGAAATGTCGCCAATTTGCATTTTTGGATATGATTTCAGGATGGGACCATTTTGATGCAGCGGAAGCAGGTTTCAAAGAGCTAGAGGAACTTTACAACCTAGTCACTAAACAGTTGGGCCAAGATGCTATTGTTGTTGATGCAGATGACCTTATCAAATATCCAGGTAAATTTCTATCAGCCATTGTTGATTGGCGTAGGCTATTCGAACGTATGAATTGTGCTTTGCAGTGATTCATTGCAACTACTATCTAATATATCATATCACAATTTATACATAAGATGATCATATATCGTAAATATCTAGGACATTTTATATACAATGGTACTCTTGACACGTAATACATTTTGAAGTAATAAATGACTTTAACCCTCAAATCATCACAAAAGTAGTTTTTTGAAGTTTTAATTAAATATTATGTAAAAGTGTATGTTTGGTTTCATAAATAGATGACGTTTTGAAGACATATTGTAAGAAAACGGGACTATACTACGACCCAAAGATGATCGACTGGCGCGATAGTCCCCTTGATATGTCTGTATTTGACGAATGGATGCCATGGTTTGAGGGGGCGCTTACCTCGACCTCATTTCGCTCTAGTGGTACTGGTGGACGTTCCCCCGAACCAAGCGAACTTCCCGATGATGTCATCAATTGTATAGATCGCTGCATGTTAATTTATAATAGACTTTATGCCAAACGTACGACTCCATGTACGCTTAGAATATGAAGAATATGAAGAACGCGTAGTCGTCAGAAGTATGCACAGCTAGGGTTACTTCTTAAGTATCGTTAAATTAGATGGACGTAAATTGTATTAATAGACAAAACATTCCTCGCAATTGGAGAAAGCGAAGTCGTTGCTGTTTATGTTTCATATTGGAACGACAGCCTATTTATATTGTAATGTTACTTTTAGGTGACGTAACAATTTGCCTGGCCTCCTGGACCAATGTATCGTCATACTTTTAACGCCGTAAAATCTACTTGGCGTCAAGTACGATTTTACGGCAACGAAACTGGTTTTGAACTGCGTCAAAAACGATTTCATTTGGCGTCAAAAACGATTTCATACAGCGTCAAAAATGATTTGAACGACGTCAATAATGACTTTGAACGGCGTTAAAACGATTTCGACCGGCGTTAAAAATGATTTTGAACGGGATCGAAACCTGGTCGAAACCGATTAAGAGAACTGCATGTGGGACACTTAAATTACGTTTTAGTTGGCAGCCAATCAAAACCAGCGTTACAATCATTTTGAAATGCCAGTAGTTTGATTGTGCGAAATCATTCCTGACGCCATATAGAATAGTCATTACGCCGTAAAAATCGTTTTAACGGCTTTCAAAATGTTTTTAAAGGGTGTATAAAATCAATATGGCGCCGTTCCAAATGAGTTTTGAAGCTGTTCAAAATGATTTTTGACGCCGTTAAAAGTGATTAACAAAATAGTTTTTGACGACGTAAAAGTAATTCTTAACATCATATAAAATCTATTTGACGGGGTTAAAAGTAAATTTTACGGCGTTAAAAGTAGATTTCATGGCGTTAAAAGTATACATTGGTCAAGGTGGCCAGCCATATAGCCATTTATCTTTTACGAGATGTTCACAAGCTCATTTGTATCTTATACACTGTTTTATAAAGACTGTCGATGTAAAATAGAGATTTCACTCAATCCTAAGATATATACATTGATACACACGCGTGATACAAGCATAAGAAAAATCGTTCTTTTATATTTCGATAATCTAAGTTATAAGTATAAAGTAAAGTCAGTTTGCGAACACTCTTTATTGTTATATTTTACTCATGTTATGATGATATCTATAGATGCTTCACAGTAAAGAATAAAAATATATACTCATTTATGGCTTTATTAGATGATCGATTCTAGACAGAAATATATCTTTGATAAGGGTAGATTGTTTTTTTTATATTTATTACATTTCGACAGAGACTGTTTACATCAGAATAAAACATAATTATTGTTATAGCAGTTCGTATTGTGTTCTTCCAATCCTTTCTATCTGTCTTCAACATGTTATCCAATGGAATTGCAAAGATTGCAATTTCATTCATTTCATTCAAGATAGCAATTGCCATGTACATTAATACATAAAATGTCGACTGAACTTTGAATTATGAATTGAATTGGGAACAAAGGTTATTCATTAATATCTATCTACATATGATAACGACGGCATCATCCAGCCCTTTAATATCCCATATGATGTAAAGGTTATTATTTAGAGTGCTTTTTATAACAAGTCACTTGGGGTCAGGGTTGAACCGGAATTAAACATTTAATTTCTCCACTTATGTAACGTTGTTTTAAATCTCTTGATTACACTGTATCAAAGTATCAAATACCGTTGTATTCAGTGTTGTATTGTAATGACCAATTGATTCAAAATCCAAAATCTTTTTAAGCACCTATGTTCACCTTTAGTGAAACAGGAACCCTGCAATGAGGACAGTTTTATTCATGAAGATTCGAAATGCTATCCAACAGAAAATATACTAGATTCCTGCTAAATTGCACCAAAACGAGATTTATCAAATGCATAAACATTTGATTAAGATCGTAGGGTCCCATGGTCAATCACTACGTTCCATCTTCAGATACTAAGCTTGATGAAGCAATAGAAGCCTTCAATGGTTGAATGGTTGACGCAACAAAAAGGGATGAGTGTCCAAATGCCAGTTCAATAAACTAGAAGTATCATCTTTATCACCATGTTCAATGTTCATACTTCGAAACTTTCATTATGGATCTGAACTCGTCTAGATCTGTTAATCTCACAGGATTATCCAGATTATTTATGAAGTTTTATTTTCACGTTAAACACACCTAACTTAACTTAAACTTTGACAATCTCACTATAAGTATATTATATACGACGTATGCAACGTCAAGGTCAATGTTAGCTTTTTGATATACAAAATCTAAGAAGTATTTATATTTTCAAGATGGCAACAAGGGAATATATCTCGTCAAAATGGAATATGGAAGAAGTTTATCTTCCCTATAATAGATTTTCTTCACTCCATTCGAATCGAGTAGAAAGCAGTGGGCATACACAAGAAGACAATAAAATATTAAAGCGTGTTCGGTTTCAATTTGATGAAGCATCGACAATCCATCACGACGACATCAGAACAGCGAATTCTCCCGAAGATGTCTTTATTGGAAATAATGCCAAAGACCCTGGTAGTGGCACGTATTTGGACAGATTAATAGAACACTATCTTTATCAAACTAGGCCAACTGTTTCCGGGAATAATTTTGGTATAAGATCATGCCAATGTTGCTTAGAAAGAAATAGAGATATGAATTGTAACTTAGAGCATAATCTTCACAATGAATTCAACACGAACGACCCCGTAGGCAAACATCGTGCAATTGGACTTAGATCTAGCCCGAAAGGACATACACATATCGATGATAACGAGAGGAGTCATGATTCACAATGGAGTACCATTCCAGGACCTGTAGAATCACCAACAAGTACTGTTCACCCTGCTGAGGATCAAACAAAGAACAGCTATTTCACGGAAAGATTGAGCACAACCTCACATTACCCAGATCTTGGTTATCGCTCTGTTCAATACCTTACCCATCCCGAATTTGCTATAAACACAGACAACACGTATTACTTTCAAAAGTCTTTGGATCCAGATATATTGGCTGCTGACACCAACTATAACAATAATATGGAGAAACTTGCATACACTATCAAACACCTTGAGCTTTCATGACCATACTGAGTGGTCAACAATCTTGTCTTGCATTGAACAGGCTGCATTGAACTAGTCGATTGATGGCGTTGATAACGAGTTATCGAAAATGTTCTTAATATATATAGTTTTCAACAAGCTTTGTCAAGTTATTTTAATAAATGATTATAATATAAAAAGCAATGTCAGTTGCACATGTTTCAGGATTGTTCGTAGCCTTAGTATGAATGCTAATATTCAAATTGATCCCAGCCACTCGACAAGCACACCCGTTCAAGTTGAAGGCAACGTGTTATTACACAGTCATATAACACATATCTCGCACGAAAATCAGAAAAGTTCCTGAGGTAAAGTATTCAACATGCTTTTTGTGTCTGATAAGCCCAAAGCAAATTAGACATCGGTGCTTATTTTATATAGACATGTCTTTTTTCTAAACTTATACACATTTGAGTCAATTATTTCATTTTGCTAAAGAGAATTGAGAACTTTTGTATAGTATCGTATATAACTTTGGTTTATTAGTTATAACATTTATATTTTTTCAAAATGCGAAAAGATTCCATGGCATTGTAACTATAACAATGTAAACTGTGACAACAAAATAGGGACCCCTCTGAATTTTACAACGTTGATGTCGACATTGTACCAACACTGTCCATCCTTTATTGAGAGCTGCAGTTCCGTTTACACACTAGTACAGATATTTTAATTTTAATAAATTAATATCAAAACTTTCGTGTAGCAACATGTGGAAGCTCCTTATCTCCCTTGCCCTGGTAGGCATTTGCTCTGCCGAGTGGTATTCCGACACCGACATCAAGGTTACTGTATCAGATGCACCTGCCGAAGATTTGGTAGAAGGCCAAGCCGCACGACTCGTTACGGACGCCATCCCTAAGACTTATATTCTTGGAAAAGTTGATACAATTGTTGGAATAATCGAGGATGTTGCTGACGTGATTAAAGTCATCACTACAAGAAGAGGAAGTGTAAGTACCGATCCAGTTCAAATTAAAACAGTTATTTGTATAATATCTTCAGAATATGTAGGCACATTGTTATTGCTATCATTTGGATCAGTACTATGTATTTGATAACGATTTAGTCTTGCTTTGCAAATTTAGTTTTCTAATAACACAAAGAAGAAGCCAAGAGCAGACACTTCACTAGTTACCATTAACATTTGTTTGAGCATGCGCAAATGTGTATGACAGTCATCAAACATCTCTCGCATCTTCCCTTATCTTCCATTATCCCTTTTTGTATCTTTATATATATTCTGGATTATTAGCATAGACTTCTTTAATCAGTTTTTTTCAAAAAGTGAGTATTTCATAAGTTATGTCATCAAAGTGATAAATGACGTCCAATTCTATAAATTCCATTGTCCACAGCTCAGGGTCCTCACTAAGGACGGGAAACTGATGGTTTGCCCCTGGAAGCAAAGGGGACATATCTCTGCTTGGAGATGGAAGTGGTGGTGCACAGTGTCATGCCCCAATGGAAGATCAGCCAGAGTGAGAACTTTGGGACGTGACAGTGGCGTTGCTAGGTAAGAACAATCGGAAATCCAATTCATCTTTTTCTCTTGCAACGCACAACACTGCTTGCAAAATGGCATGGCGTTCTTTGATGGAGAAACAATATACATGTATATACCAAATATTTAATTCTATTGAGGGCAATGCCTGTGCATCTTTCACAAGTGGTATTTCATGAAGCTCGAAGGACAGCTGGATCATTTTGTGAAAGTGTCAAAATATAATTTAATATTTGTTTTATAGTCCTCATTCACATTAATGGAACAACAAACTATTGATGCCTAATTAGCAATAACAATATACTCCCTGGAGATATTTATAAAATCAAAGTTACACTGGACAAAGTAGCAACTGTTGAATATCATCATCCTCCGATCACAAGGCTTCAAAATCCAGAATATATTCTTTCTTTTTGAAGGAGGTGCGGATTCTGGACACCTGCCTAGGAGGATGAATATCATTTGATATTTCATAGTCATGTGTACAGCCTTTGAATACCGATCTCTTCTCAATTTGAGTCACATAGTCACATAGATCAATCAGAGAATGAGGAATATGACAGTGATATAATAATGGGGGAATTATTTATTTACGGTCGAATATGACACACTATGAAGTAGCGTAGAACCATACCTAAGAGGATGTGTGTTCGTTTTTTATTGAGAGTGAAGAAGCATCGGTTGAGCAGAATTGATAATGTACCAATATATAGTTGATGGATTACGTCTGGTGTAAAAAGTATTCTTGTCATGATGTGACTGTCACTGTTTCTATCAGCACGTGATCATTTGATCTTTGGACGGTGAACATTTTACACATGCGCTTTTATTTGTCTCTTGTATTGTAGCGCCGGGTGCCAGGTGCAGAGGCAAATCATGGGAGCTGGTCCAAGACCAATCACCTTCACTTACAGGAGAAAGAATACAAATTGTTAATGATGTCCAGTATAGTGTTATAATGTATAATATGTATGCAGTTTATGCATGGAAATAAAACTTCCTATACAGCTTAAAGTGTATGTAGACCTTTTAGAGATCTAAAGTGACTAAATATGGTGATATTGACAACAATGCTTACTCCAGACAAGTTTAGAATAATGATTCAAATTAAAAATAAAATAAAATTATTCTACATTTCTATGCAACAAATACAGTGACATATCGATTATTCATGATCGATTGGAGAGATTTGTTTACCAACATTAATGAGTCGCAAACTTTTTATTAAAAGTAAGACAATATATATAGGATAACAAAAAATGTCAAATGCGCCTAGTATTTATTTTCTACATATCATTCTCGTGTCCATATTTTGTGAAAGCGGTTGGCGTCCGAGCTGTGCATTTTGCGTGTTAGTGCCTTGTTTCAAATATAAACCAGCTTTTATTTAAAGTGACATAAATCGGAATTCTTTAACTACTTACGCCATTAGTAATGTGTGTAGTACGACCTGTTGGGGTATTAGTGGAGTTAAATTTGATATTAACAGGTAGAATAAGGGTGGACTTTAGTATAGAGTATTTGTATTATCTAATTAACGAGTGTTTTCCAAATAATTAACAGTTATCTTTTTAAAACAAATTATAGCAACGGTTCATGCATTTTTACTGACATCAAGTTCATCACAAAGTAGACACCAAGAGGCCGCCGGGTATATTTGTTTGTCCATCATTTATATGAAAGAATCATTGTAAGATAAACTTTATATTTCTTGTTAACGGTATTCCTATTTTGACAAATTTTAAATCTAGATCACAAAAACATTTTTGACACTTTTGAAATTTTATAGATATCTGTTATTGTAAAACTATACACGGAAAAGAACGGGAACATTGTGGTAGGTTGCCGTGATAAGAAACAGTGTGTGGTTACATAACCTCCAATTGTTCAATATAAATACGAATGTACAATGCCAAGAAAAATCGATTGCTGTGTGAATAAATGCATATTTGATTTGAACAATTCCTGGAATAACAGTAATACAAAGCTCGTGACTTTTCATGTTATCAGAAATCTCTCCTATATTGGTCTTGATGACAAATTTGAATGGACGAGCGTTTACAAAATAAAGAGAAACATGATTAAGGGTAAAATTGAACACTGAAATGGTTATTAAGTGCAGTCATAGAACTTACAAAGTACTTATGGGTCTTATCCACTAAGTTTATACAGCTTTCGTACTTTGACCTTAATACGTTACTTATATATAAAGCAAAGGCGAAATATAATCCAAGATGGCGGCAGTAAGGTCGAAACGACCGTGGAGATGGAAAGACATTCTTTCTAATACAACATGGTTCAGCGTTGTCCTTTGTTTTATCACGTCGACGCTGATTAACTCTGACGCTCTCAACTATATCGTCTTTAAGGAGAAACTGGGTGAAGGTAAGCCGTTTACTCGACTTTCATAATCAAAACAGACGTTGAAACTGCATTGTTTTTGTTATTGCCAATTGTTGATATGAAGATATTATATGGATGTGCATTTTATCTCAAGACTGTTCATACCACAAGGTCGAAATAACAATCGAAATACCTGTCTGTAATTAAGTCATCATTCACGACAGATGAACATCCCAAAGAAAAAAGCATATATAAAATGTCAGCTATTAGATTACCCCCAGGCCATAAACGTGGGTTCGGTTTGCTTTTTTAATTTTTTGCTTTGATAAGGCAAACCTCACCCACAGCTGAAACCAATTCCAAATTGTGTAGTTGGATACCTTAAAGATGAAAATCTGAACTATGTCAGCAGTTTTCTATTTGGCAAAACACTTTTATCGATGTAATAAGAGATTGATTACTGGAAACAATGCTGCATATCTGCCTTTTTTTCAGCATTTATATCTGGGTCTTGAAAATGTTCCTATTGTCCACCAATTTTTACTTGGACACCTTGATGAATTGAAGATGAAAATCAGCTCTTATGTTAGCATTTTCCTTACCAATGCATTCTCTTGTTTTCCTTTACAAAACACTTTTCCCAATTATTATACTGGAAACAATGCTTCATATCGGCATTTATTCAGCATTTATATCGAGGTATATGTCCATCATTTTGTCCAACTACAAGATTTTAATGGCTAACATTTGTGGGGGAGTTTTGCTATCACTGAATGTCAAAAATAAGAAAAAGGCAAAACACCCCCACATTCATGGGGGTACTATTAGATTTATTTTCCATAAGCATTTGTAAATATATAAATCAATAATTCTATTGTTCTCTAGCTATGATATCAATTATATAATACACACGTATAGTACAGTTGAATGATGAATTCCAAAGTCAAGAATTGCTTATCACAGAAATATTACATCAAATGAATTGTTCAGTTTTTTTACTGCATCTATGCCAAGTGCCAACAATTACAAATACAATATAGTGTGTATAAGAACGTGTAGTGACACAAAAGCTTTCCTTTAACGACCCATATGACCCTTTCAGGCACTGGATGCACCGATGGTACCGGAGCAGAAAGAACTCATCTGGACGAATGGTCCACTGCATCAGGATCTTGTGACAGATACATTTGTTTTCATGGAGTTGCAGCCAACTTTGTCATCTCACACACGTAGGTTTTCGCTTTCTAAAGAAAAACCATTGTATATCGATGCTAATACTGTATTTTTGAATTCTTCAACATAAAATATGTCATAACGGATATCGAACATTGTACGTCCACTATTAATTCAAAATTCACCTCCCATCGTTAAGCTGTTACAATGACTCTTAAAACTGTCGAATTTAGGTGCCAGGAGCTGGGGGTGAATGAGAACCCAGACACCACTAACTGCGAAGAGACAGCCGACACTGCCCAAGCATTTCCGGGATGCTGCCCCGTCTTGGAGTGTTCTGATAGAGAGCCTGTCGTTGCGCCAACATTTCCAGGTAAGAAAGATCATAATGCATATCAAAACCATAGACTATCTACTCTAATAACTTCAGGTGATCTGGAGGGCAGCACATGTGGTCAGACTGTGATTACAAGAATGTTTGTTTAGATAAGAGTCAGGTCTACAGTCTTGAGGCAAGACAAGATAGTGTAGTCTAGTATGAGTATTTTTGTTAGCACGGCCTAAATCTCACTGTTCTTTGTCGTATTACATAATATCGTATACATATCAGATAGTTTCAGAAAATTATAACCAGTTTTATTTTATGCTCAACAGCATGTTACGACATCTCGTCCAACTATTCATGCACCATATGGAACGTCCTGGGTGGCTGTTCTTCTACCTCAAACCTCTATAACTTCACTAGCGAGTTCTGTCAGCTGACCTGTGGGTAAGGAATATTTCGCTTACATCAAGCGAGCCTATATGTAAACAACGTAAAAGTATAAAATGTACAGATCGTTCAATTAAGCTAATGTTGCCCTAAAACCTTTAATTTGCAATATACAGTACACAGGAAATACACTACACTTCACAGGAAAAGCATGATACATCTCGCCAACCATCTTGAAAATGATGTATCGGGTTCAGCGGAGCAAATTGTAACCTGAAAAATGGTCACTATTTTTCTTAAATTTCATGTCATGCCATAGGTGATATTCTGATTTTACATTCACAGCTTTCACTGACGGTTTTGTCAGTTTGGTTTGTTTGTAAGTTACTTCACAATCACAATTAGAAAATCATTTAAGAAATTGCAAATGATTTAATTGTCAATAGAAATGGTTGGAAAAGATAAACTGAAAAATTAAACTAAACGTGATGATAAGTGAAATGTTAGTGTAATGCTACTACTCAGTGTAAAGGCATGTATATATTGCAAAATAAAAAGTGTGGGGCAAAATTAGCGTTGTTGAAGAAAAGAACAACGATTTGAGTATTTATTTCAATCGAATATTCATACCATATGTAGTTGACATTGTTTATGAATAATTAACCGAAAGCTCTCTTACAGACGTTTCTGGGTTTTCAATTACATTATACATAAATTATTTAAACCTTTTCAGGTTCTGCTAACAGGCTGGTCAATTCAATGATGACAGACTACTACTACAGTATGTGTGCAGGACAATCAACCGTGCTATAGACACTTAAAAGAATATCAGGATCTTATTTCCGTCCATATACAATTATATATGTATATATATTTTATAAATGATTTTACTATGTTTATTTCATATATCGTGTAACTGAATGTAAAGTTGTTGAATCAATAAATATTTAGATATTCTTTACTCAGCAGTTCATTATTTCATTTCCTTGAGGTGCCAATCATTGACCATTTTCTATATAAATGGGAAAATAGATGGCAGCATGGGTCTTTAATTGTAAAAATGCAGATCTCCTAAAATCTCATTAAAACGAAGGTTTACCGAGATTTCAAAGCTATATGGAAAAGACTCTATTGAACAGTACCTCAAATATCAGCGAATTGAAAGAATACATGGTGGATGTCAATTCGTCTCGTTTGAACACCGTGCTTTGAGAGTGTATGCACGGTGTTGATATCAAAATTCTTCTTTGCGCTGAAACTAGCTGCTGATATAGTTTCTCCTTTGGGTGGGGTACTAACTGCCTTAAGAATCTATATAGATGGCACTTAGAGGAATCAGATATGTACAATTGATCTACCATGTGTTTCTTACAAGCTCAGATATAATATCTCCCAAAAGATCCGTGATATGTTGTCAGTTGGTGAAGTTATTTAAGATTCAAAGTGCAAAAATGGGGGGAAAATATTTAGATTCTCCCAAATAATAAGAATTGTAACCGTTATGGTAACCATTCTTAAAAGACAGATGTTTTCATTATTTGTAAAACTCTTTAGTTTTCCTCAAATAAAGTATATACTTGGGGTATTTTTTAGAAAATAGACATGACAAAGGATCTTTGAGCCCAAAATATTCTAAAATTGAAACGATTTTGTGGAGCACCAAAGTAAGCAAAGTAATTGCTAGATCTGATTCTGCCTTTAATATAAATTTTCTCTACATTGTATTCCTTAATTTACATGTTCAAAGATTCCATTTCAAGAAATTGGAGTTACACGTCGCACGAAACTGGGGACAATTAGGGTAACATTATGGCGTCAAAATACCAAAACAAAACAATGAGCAGTATAGGGCGCAAACAGCATTACAACGTCAAAATCGACGAGCGTCACATTTTTTTCAAGTTTAGTCAACCTCAAAATAAAATCCTTTATCCTTATCTTATCACGATAAAATTCACAGGGTAGCAAGATCTCGAGGACAATATTTCTAAAATGATTTTGAATTTTGAAAAACGGTCGGGAAATCCACTTGGGACGTTCGTGAAAATTGATATGTATGGAATTTGGGGTAAAAAAACGGTGCGTCACATTTTTTCAAGTCTCGAAAATCAGCTCTTATTTTAATATTATTTCCAAAATAAACAATCCGGTTATTGTTTTGTAAATTTCGCCGTGACAATATTGTGCAGTTAATTTTTCATTCAAATCAAATCTAAATAAGAAGGTCAAATTAAGGTAAACTTATCGCTTGTCCCCTTCGAATGAAAAACCTTACATAATTTTAAAAATTGTAGCAAGCGTCCAAATAAGAAAATTTGAATTGTAGCCGTTAGGCAATTATGACGTCATAAATACACATGGTCAATTGAACAAAATGTGAAAATTTCATGGGATTCTGATTATTATTTCAAAAGTTATCCTAATTCCAACGAACCGGTTAAGGGTAAAGTGTTACGTCTTACAACGTATTTTTCGATGTTGGGGTAGTTTTAACTTTAAACAAATGGCAGATCACATCGAAATTTTCGAGCAAAAATAGTATCACTGTAACACGCATAAAAATGCTTCAAAATGATATATGAAACACATGCTTAGGTTTTTTACTTAGGCGGGTATTAACGTTTAAAGGTGACATTAGGCCGTATTTCTCTAATTGTCCCCAGGTCCGTGTACGTCATAAGTATCTTGAAGAATTCTTAGATGTACAGCCACTGGATTTTCGCCATCCATTGACAACCTTAAGTTACCTTTTACATGCATTCGAATTCGCTTCTTAAAAGAGAGATTCGTCTTCGGTAGTTTGTAACTAGACTCTGGGCGCAGGGTATGACAGCCTCGAAGGCCATTCTCATTCGGGGAGTACGATGTTGACATTAAACCATGTTGATATTAATTGTACCATCACAGTGCCCATTTCCAAACTTTCACTTTTATTTTGGAATCTACTTTGTATCAATAAAATTTCCTTCAATCAATAGATGTCACACTAGTACCGTGGTTGAGTTCTGAGTTTAAAACAATTTTGTTTAAAGAATGGGCTGTATATATCTGTGACTTTTTGTACTTTTGAGGGTTTCAGTCGAATGTTTATTTTGAGTCCATGCTTCATAAACAACAAAGCAAATAAGCATCAACATACGAGAGCTCACACATGTGGTAGCCAAACTACACTACAAGATCCAATTCAAAAATTACGAAAAGTCTGTTTTACAAATGTTTATATTTGTCCATATAATATTGCACCATTGCAAATACAAATTCCAAATCAATAATTACGATAGCCTTAAAGTGTGTTAAATGCATGTCAAAGAACATGTATATACTGAAGAAGCTAAGACATGATGAAGATACAAGTAACATTAATCATATCAAACTAACTTATCTGTGTAAATGACAAAAGTTGGCTGATATCATCCTTCAAGTAGGTCTTTATCACAGTTATGCAAATATGTGTATGTGATTTTAATTGATAAAAAACTAATGAAATGGACCATGTATTTGTCCAAATTAACTTATGAATGTTTTCCCAAAGGAGTACCATTAGAAATAAATTATACAGTAAAAAGGGAAACGAATTATTTGACATGTACGAAATATTTTAACAAACCGTGTACTTAAACTGATTTCATATTGCCATACTACAGTAGTGTTATAGTCATCGCATCGGCTGTTACGTTATTATCCGGGCTGTGTAATATTGCCCTTTGTTGTCATTCGCATGCTGTACGAACATCTATGTTATTTGCATGTACAAAGTGTGCCTGAGACACTATCCTCTGGTCATACTGTACCTTACCGACATATATATTAATTAACGGGATGTGATTTATCATTAATTGACTTTGCACGCGTCTGATTGACGTTAATGGATAAATAGATGCCGATCAGAAATGATTTCGTTGCTGATGGCGTGAAAACTTAATGTCACGGAGACATATAACTTGCTCCTGACAATTCCATTCAATTGACGCTGGCTCGTAAACGAAACTCCGAAATACACGACAGGAAGTGTAATGATGTCACACCCGCTCGCTAAGTTTTTAAAGCCCGTTGGAACTATTTTCTAACACGACTTAAACATTGAGAATCCATTTAGACACTATCTTGGTAATTATTAATAATAATGTCCAAAGTCGGATATCTAACTGAGATAACTTCCTACATGTGCATATAGATATTATTGACTTTCATTTAGAATATTTGCCTCATATTCGCATTGTGGGACTCGTGGTCCGGGTGGCAGGAACACAGTCCGCGAGTACGGTGTGAAAGAAATAATTCTGATCCCCTGGGGATTATGGTCCCCCGGCCCTTATTGGCCCTGATTGTGTATAAGATAATAAGGGAAAGGGTTGTATTTAGGTCACCATATAAATCAATGGAGAGTAGGACCAAAATTTGATAGGACCACCTACCCCTTTACACCGGTGTGAAAGAAATAATTATGGTCCCGTGGGGATTATGGTCCCCTTTCTAAACGGCCCTTATTGGCCCTGATTGTGTATAAGATAATAAGGAAAGTGTTGTATTTAGGTCACCATATAAATCAATGGAGAGTAGGACCATAATTTGAGAGAACCTCCTACCCTTTTACACTGGAACAGATGATCGCGTTAGTGGAAGTCTAGGAGGCCAGTAACAGCTTTTTGTCTTAGTAGTTTAGAAACCTTTTAGAAATTGGCGAAATTTATGAGGTATCGAATTATGAGGCTTATCACTTGCTAAGGGCATTAGGGAAATTCTGAAATAATCCATAACATTTTGAATAACAGAAAACAAATCACATTAGCTCATGCAATTTAGACAAAAACTGAAAAGTGGGACCTCGTTTAACCTATACAAAGTCAATGTGGTAGCAGTTTGGTGTTTTTAATTGCTCCGTTGGCGAGAACGAGGATGCTTTGGGTTCTTTTAATTTCAATTGCGCCCCCGTGGGTTAGAAAAAACGTAACACCTGTTTTGATATGTAAAACTATTAAAACACACGTATGTGGGTGTCAATAGATCAAAATGATACCTGAGAAAACACTTCAACATTTACATGTATGTTAGAACAGTGCAAAGTATCGGCATCCCGTGAATTCGAAAGATTTCATCATAAGTAGTGTCATAAAAAATACATGCGTAATTGTTATATTAAGGTACATGATATAACTTGCCGGCATGCGTACTTTGTGTTAAGACCTGTCCAAAATAGAAGCTATGTGACAAGAGATAACTCTCTTAGTTTGAAGTGATCTCTCTTATCTTATGTGTCGACTTATCGCATTTCATAAAGTTATTAATTGTGCCTACTAGGTACATAAAACTCTGATTGCGCTCATAACTGAGTCAAACCCTGGTTCGAGTCTATAATAAACATATTAGATTGCAAAAGGACTTTCTTAAATCAATGAAGTTTTACTCTGCGAGTCCAGACTCCGAATATGATCCCATTTGATACACACTCAATTATCATATTACGTAATACCTGCGATAATGACTTGATTAATAGATTACGTAACAGTACTATCAAGAATTTCTCTAAAATAGCCGATGGGTTTATAACGGTTTTAGCAAAGAACAGAATCGGGGAAACATTTGGTGATTTTTGAAAAGCACATAGTTTCCATAACAATGGTGTATTCCCTTACAAATGTCTCAATTCATTTAATTTTTAGAAGGAAGATATAGTATTTTGGCCAAACATTAATGTTACTTAGACTTGTTAAGCCAAGTCCCCCAAGTAGTAGTCACTGTACACTGGCGGATTAGGGGGGCCCGCCCCCCCCCCTAGGGTGGGCCCAGAAAAAAAATTGGGCCCAAAAAAAGTTTTGGGCCAAAAAAGGCCTTCAGACCCTAAAAAATGGTCCTCTTTGGTCATTACTGGGGCTTGTAAGGCCTTA